GACCCTTCTCTCTTGTTCCTTACACAGTCCGTGTATGAAGAGTTTTTAAATTAACTCCCCAATGACGTCAAGAGGCAGTTTGATGGTGAACTGCACAGACCCAGGCTCACAAAGAGCCTTCAGCTCAGACAAACAACAGACAAAGATGAAGTGATATATCTGAGAGGTACGGGTGCCGAGACAAAAGAGTCCATCACAGGATAAGTATCTCACATCTGGACAGGAGTACACAGCTTATCTACACTATAATTTGGAAGCAAGGGCGGATGCTATCGTTCACATAGCAGGAGGGAACAGGGATTTCACTGATAACATCACTGATGGGATCGCACATCAGTGAATCTCACGCTGAATCTCCACTTCATCTGTGACCACCTGCCGTCCTATCGGTTTCGAGGCTGGTAGTGACCCGGGGGTTGAAGAACCAACAACACTCAGGTGGTCCGTTCGGCATATAATCACACATCTTCAGGCAAAGTTAAGTTCAGGTGGAAAGCAAAGACTTCCCAGCATGCACCAGACACGTGGAGTCCGTGCTCTACCTCAGAATAGCGACTGAGCCACTCAGCGCCGCTGGCCTTCGTACTTCCATGGGCCACATTGTTGAGCTGCACCCCCACCCAGTCTGCCCCCGCCAACATTCCCCCCCCCCATAAGCAGCGAGTGATAGCTGGCCTCACACTCGATAGCTCAAGTGTAAGATTGATTTCCCAGCCTATAAATTGACAGCTATTTCTATCACCTGCTTTGGGATGGAGAGCAGAGATGGGATGGAGAACCTTTAGTCACAGATGGACATGGGTTCAATCATCTTCAGGTGGATGGAAAGATACATTCAAGATAACTTCAAATGTTGCATTAGAGACACAGTGCACCATGAAGACTCTCCATACTTAATCTCAATGCCTTCAGCTCTTGGCTAATCGGAACCTCAAAATTCAGATTGAGATGGATACCTTCTAAAGGCCATTAACCTGCTCCGGAGGTGTCCACACGGTCGGAAACATTCATGGGTGCCCGATTTTGCTAAAGGCCTTCTTCCGCTTTGAGATCTCCAGGAAACTCTCATGTCAGGTTTGGGGATCTGAAAGGTCACCCATTATTTTTAAAAAGGATTAAAAAATTCAAATGCTACCAAGTGAATCCGACACAGCAACACCTTTCTGCCTGACCGCGCAAGACCTCAGTTTTGAAGGCCCCCCCCCCAGACCCCCACCTCCACCCCCCAGCATGAGCTGCCACTCGCTTCCTTCAGCCACAGCCACTCGATTTCCCCAGGCCACACCTTGCAGCAATCCAATTGGTGGATGCCACTTTAGGCATCTTTATTAAATTATGAGGGTGCTTTGTGTCCAAGATGAAACACTGTCATGTGAGGCTGGGGGCAATCTACTTATGATTGAGCAGCATTTTAAATAGGAGCTCAGCAAACCAGCAGCCTAAACTCCCCAGCAGTTTAATTCCAGACGCAAAACGCTAATTTAAAGGGCCACTTGGAATGAGTCCATGACGCATGTTGACTTTCACGCCATAGCCCTCTGCTGGATAAACTGTAATGAAGGATGAATGGAGTGCGAGTATCAAAACAAATGTATTACTGACAGGCCAGAAAGCGAAACACAAACCTTCCTGGCAAGAAAATGCCACCTCACTCAGATATCAAAAGGGTTTTTGGGGGAAAATATGTCAGTCTTCCGTAGCTGCTTCACTGATCAGCTCTGGTGTAGCTGCAGCTCCAGAAAGTGAAGCATACTCATGTCATACCTTTCCTTTCAGTCACGGCAAAAAAAAGGCCCAAACCGACATACATACAGGTCCCAGGAGCATTTGGGGGTTGAGAGCCTTACTCAAGAGCCCAATGCAGAAATCACTCTATCGACCATGGGGTTTGAACTGCCGACCTTCTGATCACAAACACAAGAGCCTAACCCACACCACCACAACCACTCACAACTGAAAGAGAGGTACTATCATACTAGAGAATGTTTAACAGCTCTCAAACAGAAACTGGGTACAACCTCTAACCATATGGGGACAAGCCGATCGTCAGGCAGCTTCCCAATGTGCCTGAACGCGAAGTGAACCCAGGGACTCTGAGGAGGCCTATTTTAGGATGGCCCCATGGCCCCAGGACATCGCCTTATCTGCCCGATTGATGCTGCCAGCAGGGCACGGAAAGCGGCACGCTATGGCGAGTGTCCCTGCGACACGGCGGGGTGTCAGAACCGTCACCGCCGAAGTCTCGTCCTACCGAGTGCCTGGCGGAAAACAGAGACCTATCACCTTGGGCCGAGGAGGTGACAGGTGCCCAAGGCCAGCTGGCTGTCGCAGGGTGCAGCTGTGTCACGGGACTGGGGGGGGGTCATGGTCACACAGAAAAAAGTCTGAAAGGCTGCAGAAAAAACTCCTTGTTCCTTTATTCTAATGCAGGACCATCAGCTGGAACAG